TCCACAGTGATGTCCAAGTTCAAGGGAGTTAATGTGGCACCGAAGTCCCGAGGAGGGAGGACCAGATCCCCAGGTGCTGCCACCGGGAGCCTGCACGCTGGCTTCTCCTGGCTTCTCCTCCTTGGTCCCACGAGTCTCCAGAGAGCAACGAAGGGGTCACTTTGCCACAGCCGCGGTGCACCGTGGGGGCCACCAGGAGCCGTGGTTACGCCCACCACACCCTCATCACTGCCTACTCTGCAGGGCAGGCCCGAGGCCAGAGCTCTGTCCTATCCAGGGGAGGGCAGCCCTTCCAGGCCCCCTGGTCTTCCTGGGTCCCCCAAAAGGGGAAAATGCCTGCTCACTGGAGAAACATTTGGGAGGGTCTGCACCCCAGACACAGACCCGGTAAAAGATGAGGATCTGTCATGAGATTACAGCAGTTCCCTGCCCCGCGTGTCAGCACCGCGGCAAGCGGTCCCCGTGGCTCGTAGCTGACAGAGCTGCAAGCTGCAGCCTCTCTGGGGAGTGGCCCAGGGAGAGTCCGCCGTCAGGAGCAAAGATGATAACAAGGACCGCGGGGAATCGGAAGCCCAGGGCACCAGCAGCCACGGCGAGCAGTGAACACAGCCCAGCTCCCGGCCAGATTAGCACAAACCCTCACCGGGCCCCCCGCTTACCTTGGCCCCTGATACCCACTTCAAACATGTCAGCGTTTGGCAACAACGTTGCGAGCCATCCCGAAAGTCAAGGAAGAAAAAAGCATCGGAACCAGACACACACCGTGCAGATGTTGAAATCATCAGGCCGGGAATTTAAAATAACTGTGATGAGTATGTTACGAGCTGTAACAGAAGAAGTAGACAACCCGCGAGAACAGATGGGTAATGAAAGCAGAGGTGAACCCGAAGAAGGAAGCAACACAGAACACACTGGAAATCAAACAGCCTTTGAGGGAAACGGGGAACGCCTCCGATGGTTCATCAGCAGGCCAAATAGCAGCTGAGGAAAACTCCCCCTGCTTAAGAAATTACTTAAAAAATTAGTTAAAATATATGTTGGAATCTGAAAGCCAATCAGTCTGAATTCTACCAAACATTTAAAGATGCAATTATAGCAAATCCAAAGGTGTAATTAAATGGAGAGCTACTCCATATTCACTTGTTGAAAGATTCAATACTGTGAGAAAATCAATTGTTCGGGACTGATCTATAGATTCACCACAATCCCCGTCAGTATCCCAGCAAGCGATTTTGCAGGTGCTGACAACCTGAGCCTAAAACACGGAAAGACAAAGTATCCGGAGTAGCCAACGCAACACTGAAGGAGAAAAGCCACACGTGGGGACTCACGGCTCCCGATTTCGAGACCACAAAGCTGTGACAGTCAAGACAGCGCGGCATCGGAAGGAGAGACGAATAGATCAACAGATGGAGGGGAGGTTCCAGAGCTAGAACCTCACAAACACCGGGGTCAACTGCCCACGGACAAAGGGACGGACAACTCAGTGAGGGGCAGCCCCCGAAAGGACAGGCGGTGCCGCTGGCTGCCGCAAGGGTCTCCACCTAAACCTCCCACGGTACACAGGACTCAGCTGTAGGAGGGCCGGATATTTAAGTTTGAGGTGGACAGTCCTCCGCGGGTGGCAGCTCTCGTGGAGTCGGAGGGCCGCCGAGGAAGCGGTGGCTCACGCCTGGCTCATGGCTGGAGCAGACTCTGCACTTGGCTGCCGGGAAGGCGAGGGAACAGCCTCACAGCACCCGCGTCCCTCCCCACAGCACCAGGAGACCTCTGGCCTGTGGTTCCTCCCGGGAGTAAAGTGAGAGCGACGCCCCGGCTGCGTGGATGCTGCCAGACACCCACTCCTCCTCCCGACTGAGCACCACGGTCGGGCCTTGGGGGGGACAGGCAGCAGCTGGGGGGCCGCTGCCCGGCTCTCAGAGAGCATCCGTAGGACACAGATGCTGCTACGCACGCTGCAGACTCCATCGGGAAGCTGGGCCACGGTCCCCAAACTGGCCCACCAGAGCCCCCTCACTCTGCCGCCCGTGGCCGGTTCCCCGCGGGCACCCCCCAGAGCAGCACGAACAGGCCGTGGAAAGGTGACTGGTGAGCAGGTGCACAAAGCAGGGGCCTGTGTGGCCGCAGACAAACCCCCCATGTCTGGGCCGGTGCTCTGCAGGGTCGAGAGAGGCCGTATAAATATATAAGAAAATGCACACCCGTCTTTCTCAAACTCTCAACCCCCCGAGCCCGCGTGTCCCTGATAGCAGAGCCAGATAAGGGCGGCAGATAAAGAGAACTGCAGGCCGCTGCCCCCGGCGAACGCAGAGGCAGAAGCTCTCAACGCAACGCTGGCCAACTGGCTCATGGACACAGTCATCCATCCCGATCGCTGTGACTCCTGCCCCGATGGTTCAACACACGCAGACCACGTGCCATGCGCATCAGCAGAATGAAAGAGGAATCAGACGAGCATCTGGACAGACGCAGAAGCAGCATTTCATAAAAGTCACTATCAGCACGATTAAAAAGAACCCTCGACCTAATAAAGTGCTCATGTGACCAGCCCATAGGAAACACACGCAACAGTGAACGGGCGAAAACTTTGTCTCAAACGTCAGGAGCGAGGCAGGGAGCCCGCCCCACTCCCGTCCAGCACGGAGCTGGGGGCCCTGGCGGGGGGGTCAGGCAGGAAGGGAATAAAAGGCACCCAAACCCTACAGCAAGGCCACAGGCCCTGAAATCCACATCAGCAGATGAATAAGGAAAGAAAGTGTGGTGCGTGGACACACAGCAAGTACTGACCGTCTGGGACAACACGAAGGACCGGGTGGGCGCTGTGCAGAGATGGACATACACTGCGTCACCTCACTCACGTGGAGAATGGAAACAGGCCCAACCCGCGGAGCAGAGACGACCCGTGGCTGCAGGGATGGGCGGGGGCAAGCAGGGTGAAGGGGTCAGGAGGTACAAACATCCAGTTCTGAAACAAGGAGGTCCCGGCTGGATGGACTGCATGGCGGCCGCTTGTCGAATCCATGCCCCATCGTCTGCAACCATGTCTGGTGATGGACGTGCTCAGCGCGGGGACCATTCCACCACGTACACGACCATCAGATCATCACGTTGTCCGCCTAAACCAGGATAATGCTATGCGTTGATTCCCTCCCAATAAAAATAAATGAACTAAATCTTTATCTAAAAGTAGGGTTTGGGGGCACCTGGGTGGCTCAGTCGCTGAGCGTCTGCCTTCGGCTCAGGTCGTGATCCCGGGGTCCTGGGATCGAGCCCCGCATCGGGCTCCCTGCTCGGCGGGGAGCCTGCTTCTCCCTCTCCCACTCCCCCTGCTTGTGTGCCCTCTCGCGCTGTCTCTGTCAAATAAATAAAATCTTTAAAAAAATAATAAAAGCAGGAATTGGGCCCATGATGTGAACAGAGCACGCCTACCTCCCCCGGCCCCAGCCCACACGGCCAAATTCCCTAAACGTGTAAAGGCCTATTTGCCCCCAGGAAGATAAGGATGCGCATGTGTGGATGGCAAGGTGTGCAGGAGCCACAAAGCTGGGGGGGGGGGCTCCAGCGGCAGGAGGCAGGGACTGGGGGGCATCAGGGCCCCTCCAGGTGGCCACGTGACCCACCGTGGAGCCACCCACCCAAGCACCCCACGTATCTGCACCCGCCCCCCCTCCACGTGGCAGGAGGAGTGCGCAGGAACCGCACTGCAGACGGACGGACGGAATGCCCGGAGCAGAGCTGAGGCACTTTCACGGGCTGCAAGCACGGGCTGTGCGGTCAGTCTGAGAGCAGGAGGCCTCTGACCCACGGCCATCCTGCTGCAGCTCGGGGACGTGTCCACACACACTCCACACCAACCACAGGAGTACGGAATCGAGAGGCACTCCGGGGGCGCAGGTGAGAGCTCACCGGAAGGACACGTTTTATCCCCCTGGACATTCAGAATTGCCAGCCCCCTTCTGATAGAAAGAAAAGGAGGCAAAGGCACAGGAGACCCGTTCAGTCTCGCGGGGACCAGAGATGCAGGTGAGAGCTGGTTCACACATACTGAGCTGACACCAGGAATACTGACAGCAAACACTCCTTGCTGGTAAAATATCCGTCATTTCTCAGGGGCAGTGAGCACTGACCCCACAACTGTTGGAAAACAACTGAGCAAAATGTTTCAAGAGCCATGGGATTACTTCCTTTTTGATGCAGAAACCCAATTTAAAACTTTAACCTGGAAAATAACATGGGGTGAAAAGCTGTGAGCAGACGACATCAAAGACATCAGTGTCTGTCGATCCACCTACCTCGTACATGTGGATAGAAAATACATCGAAACAGTAACGTAATATGCAGACCAAGAAGACACACATGTGCTGCATGTAACACACAAGCATGGAAATCACCTCCTTGTAAAATAATTCAAGGGTTTGGTAAAATATCGCACACAACTGGATGTTTTATGCATATCCGCTACAAGTAGAATTACGAACAACACGTAGCAACTCGGAAAGTGGCTGAGAAGAGCAGGAGAAGTCTGCACGCAGGCGGCTGCAGCGGGCACATGATGAGGACAAGGCAGGCACGTCTGCCTGTTTGCAGGGACGCAAGTGCCGTGTGGGAGAGCCGTGCGCAGGGCTGGGCGGCTAGTGCCGACGGAGGTTCGCACACACCACACACCTACGCGGGGGGACACAGGCCTGCGCAGACCCTCTCCCCGTCCTCCCTCCCCAGGCCCAGGGGCTGGTTCTCGCCCCCTGCCGCCCTGCCCGGGGGACGGAGGCTCCTGAGAGCCGGGGTGTCGTCCACCACGGTGTCCCCAGAGCTAGGATGTGCTGGGTACACAGTAGGTGCTAAATAAATGTCTGAATTCCAGGGCGGGATGTCACCCATGTGTGTTTCTCCACAGATTTTTGTCTTGAGGCTCCATCCGGCTCACCTCCCACAAGCAAAAAACTTTAGGACCACACTTCATCTTAAGGACATTGAGAGTTTATTTCATCAAAAATCACGTTTTCACTACTTAGTGGCATTCATCATTTTTCCTGTGCTGTGAACTACTCTAAACACACGATTCTTTCCAATTTATCATCTTTGGCCAAATTATGTGTGGATAACAAAGCACTGCAGAAGCCAAAATCTAGAGCCTATAAATAAAGTGCACTGCTCTCCTTCATGAGAAATAAAAAGTTTGTTCATTACTTCCCTTGATATATTAGCTACGCAGAACAAATATGCTGAGCGTCAAACACAGAATTCCCCCTAAAGAAAAGACAATTCCTTACTCGATCTGCTTCACCAGAGACGAAAGAGACAAAACTCCAAGCGCAGACCTCAGGAATACAGTGTCCTCACTCCTAGGTGCTTGCGGGCATGACGACGATCCAACGCCCAGTTGCAAGCGGATCTGGTTTCTGGAGTCACGAGGAAGCCTGGGCAGGGGCTGGGCACACTCGGGCTTTTCACTATGCACACAGGGTCTCAGCAGCGCTCCAGCCCCCCGCCCAGCCCCGGGGGCCACACAGAGGTAACTGCCACCGTCATCCGCGCTGGGTCGGCTGCTGGCCCCGGGGCCTCGTGGGGATACGAGAACAAAGACGCACCGCGATCCACACGTGGCTCTCGGTCAGACCCCTCCCCGTGCAGGACATGCCTGTGGGTGACGGAGTGATCGGGGTGGCACCTGAGCAGGAGGGGGAAGGCACGCAGACCTATGGAGGAAAGGCCCCCCGAGAACCGGCGGGCGTGTGGGGCGAGCAGGGCTTGGTGCCACCACGGTCACAGCTTACAGAAGATTCTCCAGTATCGGCTACAGGTCTGAACATCTGACCCCCGCGGCTCACACACCCCGTCACTGCGGACGCCCCGGTCTGAGCTTTCCCAGCCTGTGTCCCCATATTCAGTGGCACTGGGGGTGCTTCTAAGGTCACAGGCCCTGGTGTCCCAAGGACCCTGCCCACACACACAGTGGGAACAGCCACTCCATTTCCTAGGGGACCCAGCCCCAGCTCACAAACCAACAGCAACCGGAAGACACAGCCACCGTCAGGCCCGTGGCGTGAGCGGCCGTGCAGGGGGCAGCCGGCCTCTGCGGCCACACGGAATGTGCTCGCTCCCCACCACGGGCACGTGCCCGTGAGAAACACAGAAGGCGTCGCAGGGGACCGACAGGAAGCTCCGGGGAAGTGAGGCCATGGGAGAGCCCTGAGGGGCCGCCGGGACGAGGGAGGGCTCAGGTGTTCGCAGTGGGGCCCAGGACGGGGCGGACCGTGTGTGTGGAGAGAGCACATGGGGGGGCTGGGAGCTCTCTCCCCGCAGCGGGCCCGCCCCGTCCTCCCCGAGAAGAGGCCTGAGCGGCCAGCGCCCACAGCCTAAAGCCCCCCGCACAGGAAGGCGAGCGTGGCCCGCGGGGCGCCGGCCTGCACAGGGCCCCTCTTCTCAGAGCCTGTGACGGCTGATTCAGCAGGTTGAGGACATTCTTCACCTCCTCACACACCCGTCTGCCTCCGCCTGAGCCTCGGGGGGGCCTCGGGGCCTTCACCTCCCCCGCAGGACCTGGCCCCTCTGATCCCAAGTCCCCATCACGGCGCCCAGGCCAACTTGCCCTCCTCATACGGCAGCCCCAGGGTCCTGTGTGCCCTCGGCGGGTGCCCCAGGGCACAGTCACTTGGCCACGGGAGGACCAGAGCCAGGAGGGCCGCCCACAACTGTGCATCAGGCTTTGGCCCAGCAGTGGGCTCTGTCACGTGGAAGGGTCAGAGGTGAGGAAGCCTGTCATGGGGGCCAGGACCCCCACATCCAGACGGCAACAAGGGGAGGGTCCCACGGTGAAGGCAGAGTGGTTCTTGTGTTTAGTTTGCGGGGTGTGTTCTGAGCAGCAAGATGGCCAGTCAGCGGCCTCCCTGCTCACACGGTGGACAGGTCCACGCGGTGGGCGGAATGGCTGCTCTTGTCCCAGGGGCTGAGCTTGGTGGACACGGTGCCTGGCCGGGTCCCGTTCATCTGCAAATCACAGAGGAGGGAGCTGTGAAGACTCGGTCCCAAGAGGGGAAACCAGACCCTGGGGAGTGCAGAGGCGCTGGGCCAGAAAGCTGTGTGAGGCTCCCCTCCAACCCAGCAGGGGCCCACTGCTCCCCGAGGAAGGGAGCCCCCCACTCCAAGGGCCCCCCGCTCCCCGCCGTCTGCACTGGAGCCCTCCCTCGTCACTTCCGCGAGCTGGTGTGCACACGCGTTCACTCGAGCTCCCCTCCGTCCGTCCGAGCACTCACCCCACGTGCACGCACCGAGCACGGCCTGCCCCTGCTGCAGGCTCTGGGGTCACAGGAGTGAACAGTGCCAACCAGATCCTGGTTCCCACGGTGTACCCGCCCGTGGGAGGCGCAAGATAGCCACACGCGCATCAGTAAACAGAACATGCAGATGGTGGCCGTGGCACCACACTGCCCGGGAAGTTCTTCCTGAGGGAGGACCCCTGAGCCAGGCCCTGGGCTCATGCAAGAGGCAGTGGCGCCATGAGAACACGCGTCATCTGGCCCAAGTCCCTGGGGGTCCTGCTTGCATCTGCACTTCCCACAGGAGGGTGAGCCAAGCCCGGGGTGGAGATGACAGGCTTGTCGAGATCCCTGAGCACCAAGACCCCTGTTCTCGGGTGTCTGCAGAGGGAAGAGACCCCTGCAGGGGAGGAGCTCCCTGAAGGCCGGGCTGTGCCTGGTGACGTTCATGCCTCCCCGGGACACCAGCAGCATGCCCAGGGTCTGTCTCCGGTCAACTGATCCTTCCATCCTCCTAAGTCAACACGGAAGTCCTGCCCCTGGGAAGTGGGCAGGAGGTCATGGGAAACCACAGGACAGAGGACCCTGCTGTGGGCATAACGTCGCTGCAGAGCACAGGCCGTCTGCCAGCCACGTCAACTGTGAGAGGGCTGAGCAGGAACCACTAGCACCCAAGCCTCACGACCATGACCCTGAGCGGGGCAGCTATGTGCCCTGCCAAGGTCAGGCTCAGGGAAGGAAGGAGAGGCGCACTGGGCGCTCTGCGTTAGGAGGCCCAGGAGGGCAGAGGCCTGGTGCACCTCAGCAGGGCTGGAAGCCGCTCTGGCTTTCCAGGTGACAAGGAAAAAAGACATGAGCCCGCGGGCCCGTGAGGGTAAGGATGCAGGCACGCAGGGCAGGATCGAAGCGAGAGGAGCGGACGCAGACACGACACTGCACGGCACTCACGACATCGGAGCTGAAGGGCTTCACGTTAGTGTTGCGGATGGAGCTACTCGTGAGGGTCCAGACCTTGGTTTTATGTTTGAAGGCAGCCCTCACCTTTGAAGGCAGAACAGAGGGCTGGTTAGAAGCAATTTCAGTGGTGGAAACAGCAACAACAAGAGGTTGTTCTCAAAGGCCCCTAGGTTTTGTGCCAAAATAAAGTCCCAGAATACCAACTGCAAGGTATGAGCAGGATTTGGAGGCATCATATCCAGACTCGCTGCCTCATTCGGCAGGTGCAGACTCTGTCCCCACCACCGTACCGGGGCCTGCGGAGGGAGGAAGCTGGATCTGGTGTGGTCCCTGCTGGCCTCATGCCAGTTCTGGGCAGGGCACCGGACACGCTCAACAAGGAATGGTGGAGGGGGCAGAGTGTGACCAGCAGCAGAAACAATGGAGAAGAAAGTGAGCAAATGCAAACACGGGGTGGCCCGTGTATGGTTCAAGGCCACGTCCCTTTCCCACCTTGTGGACCATAGTTTTGGGCCCTGCTCGGCTGCTCCCTGGCTTGACAATCATGTGACCCCTTCTGCCACTGATCACCACCATCTTCAGCAACTCAGCCTGCCCCCTGCACCCTCCCGGCCCCAGCTTCCTCTCCCTCCCTGCCTGACGTATACCTCTGTACGAACAGACCCTCTGCAGAGACAGCACAGATGGGGTGGTCTCCGTCTGTTCCCACTCACCATTCCAGAGGTAGCTCCCCATGACCGAGCCTCGAGGAACGGGGGTCTGGAGCAGCCTCCACCCTCCCCACGGCCAAGTGCACGGCAGGTCAATGCCCAGACTGCACTTGAGAATGAGCCCACTCCAGCTGCCCCAATGCCCACAGAGGACATGTGACACAGTCCCCCCTAAACCCTACAGTCAGGAGACCTCCTTCCTACGTCCCAGACAGCTTCCTCGTGCCTTTGGGGAGGACTGCTGAAGGACATCTCTCCCTAATGCACCAGACAGCAAGCAAGCAGGTCGAGATTCTGCAGGTCAGCTGCCCCCCACTGTCTCCACCGCCCCTGTCCCCCAGAGAACCAGCAGGGCCTGTGAGATGCCAGGAAGGGGCTCCTGGATGTTGCTCAGCGACCAGGATGCAAGAGAAGGGCTGACAGAAAGCACCCCCATTGTACACTGTCGCCACTACCGAAGCCCATCCAGGGTTACGCTCCCGGACACCAGCCCGATGGGCAAGACTGTTCCTGCACGCTGTGCCCCTCCAGAAGTGAACACACTGCCTCATGTTTTCAGAAAGTAGAACAGACGTACCTCTGAATTCAGGAGACAATGGAAAAGGAAGATGAAGAACCCCTGGGGAGAAAGAGGACACAGGATTAGGCCTCGCATTTTGTCCCAGCACTTCCCGAGGCTTCCTCCCAAGGCCACGTGGGTGCGGGACTGGCACTGGTGTGGCTCACGGCTGGGGAGCCTGCGGGTGAGCTGTGGGACAATCCTATGTCTGGAGCCCCTGAGAACGGAGGGGCGTCCTGGATCCCACGGTGAAATCTAGCCTAGGAGCAGGCACCCCACTGTGACCACTGTGCTGTTTGGGCAAAGGTACAGGGACAGGTGGATTCCCAGACAGGACAGACGCAGGAAAGAGGAAAACGCGGGGGATGGGCCAAGCTGAGGACGTCAGACAATCAACTAAACTGAGCCCGGTGTCCTTATCTCAGACAGCGCGATAACAACAGTGAAACGGGCACGAGAATGGAGAGGTCCCCAGAGCTCTGAAGACAGTTACGGTGCGTCCGGCGCTAGGCAACACCTCCCGTGATTTCTCTCAGTCACTGCTGAAGCTGCCCCGGAAGTGGGTTCTGTTGTTGTTCCCACGTTATGGAGGAGGAACTGAAATATGCAGAGAGGATGAGAGAGGTACCCCGGGACCCAGGGTGTGTAAGGGCTGCGGCCAGGACGACGGATCACGTTTTTCTGTAAACCACCAGAGGGAAACACCGGCTGCAGCTGATTACAGTTAGGAGCCCAACACACTTCCCTAAGATGCAGTCTGGTCAGGAAGACCCAGACCAGCAGGGGCTGCACGGGTGGGCCATGCTCATGCTCACCAGGATTCAGCCGTAGGCTCAGCTGTGTGGCTGTGGGTGGTGGTAGGCAATCACTTCCGCCCTTTCTTGGGGGGGGGTGTGGGTTTGGGGATGCAGGCTCTGAGCACCCCAAGTCTCTGGTTTCCAGACTGCTGCCCCCTCCCTGCCCCTCCATGCAGGGGACACATGTGGACCCAGACCTGAGGTGCACACCATCAGCATCTCTCTGCGCTCGGCCCCCTTTCCAGAGCTGCACACATGCGACTGTCTTCCCTTTCAGGCCCAGGGCTGCCTCCCACCGGTACCAGCCGGCGTGATGAGGCAGCCCTGCTGCAAACTGGGGGATGGCCCTGCAGGCCCCGTGGGCAGAGACCCTGGTGCGTGCCCCATCGGCACATGTCTTCGGACCTCGGGCATGCCCGTGCTGTGGGCGCGCAGCGGGTGAGGCAAGAACAGAGAGAAGGGTCTCTCTCCTGCTCCACACACATCCACTCGTAAGCTGACAGCCTGCCTGGCGGTCCCACAGCGCTCACCTGTAAGGAGTTGAGGATGGCAAATATATACTGGAAGGCCAAGGCCTGGCTGTTGACAGCAAGCACACCGAAGACCCACGAGGTTCCCAGGATGGGCAGCAGCACGGCCACGGCTTTTGCCGTTAACCTGAAAGAGAAGTGGAGATGGCCACTCTGGGGGGCGGGCGGGTGAGGGTGGGTCTAGGGGACTGTCCTCTCAATGTGAGGCCTCTGAAAGGGAGCAGACACAGCCCTGCTGGGGGCCGGACCTGGTCTCCATCCTGCAGGGAACCTTGGGTGAGGAGTGGGCCGCTCAGGACCTGCTGCCAAGCCAGCAGCCCTGCCCCCACTCTCCTGCATCTGGCACTGGACACCCAGCAGCCATCATGCCCCCTGGGCACCCTCAGCTGATCACCCTGATCCAGCCGGCCCCAGTGCTGGATGGAAATGCTGATCCCAGGCACCCACGGAGGACAGCAGAGCCAGGGCTCCAGTGTGGGCCCAGCAGGGTAGGAGGCATGCTCAGAACCAGCCTCACCGGCTGCTTCTCAGAATGTGGGTTCCGTGGAGAGTGGTCCCTGCTGTGTGTGCAAGCCCAGAGCAGAGCTAACGCCCAGTCAGCCCCCAGTGAGTGCCAGCCGAGCGAATGATGCAAAGCCCACGTGGTCGCCGGGCTCCAAGCTGTCTCTGACAGACCTCGCAGTCTACCCTGACTTCTGAAACAGCTCGGCTTTGTACACCGGCGGTTCTGCACCCGGGCTTCAGAGAAAAGCCTGCAGACAGAGGTGAGCTGCGCTAGTCACTGGGTGCATGGACGACACATCTGTCTCCCTTGCGAGACCACGAGCTCCACGGCTGGGCGGGGGCTTCACCGCGGCATCCCCAAAGTGTAGCATTGGGGCCCAGCGGGCTCTCAGGAGCTGACCGCTGAATGGGGAATGAATGACCGAGGGAACGAGGGCTGGACAGACCGAGCAGTGTGCACACATCCCGCATCTCTGGGAGAAGGTGCGGCACGGCCACACTGAGCTTCCTGGTGGGACACCCAGGATCCCAGCCCTGGCCACAAACCCTGAAAACCAGAGGATGGTGCTCACAGGTCAGCTGCCTGCGGAGCGGCAGCCCCACGTCTTCCTAAAGTCAATACAGTCGAAACACCGAAATCTGGGAAACAAAGCATCATATATGCAGCTTCATCTTTACATCCTGGAAAATCCATATGGGAAAAGAGCCGTCTCGAGAAATGGGTCTCAAATTGTGCTGTTTTTTCTTAAAAACTGAAGCATCGAAACAGAAGATCTTGGGGAAGACGTGTCCAGCTGGAGGTCTCCAAGGCCTCTTGTTAACACGGCCAGGGCTTCGGGGTCCCCTGGTCACGCACAGAAGGAGCAGGTCCCTGCACTGGGAGGAGGCCCCGGGCAGGTGCACGCCCCTCCTCCTGCTGCTCCCTGGGCCGGCCCTGCATGGGGCTCAGTCCACGTGAGCCTCCTCCCCGTCCTCCCGCGGCTCGCGGGGGTCCTCGCGGTCGTCAGCCTCACCCCGGCCCCCAGAAGCCTGGATCTCACTTGTGAAAATGGAATGTTCCCTGCTCCTCTCTGGGGAGTCTGGAATCCCCCAGGAAACAAAGACTGAGGAGGACGTGGAAGGCCCTTCAGGCTCCTAAGGAAGCACGTCGTCCTGTTGGTCACTGAGCGTGTAGTTGTTCCCACAGAGGAAACGGCCACACTGAAACCGAGGGCCGGGGAACGGGAAGGAGCCCAGAAGCCGACCAAGGATGCTGCAGGTGCCGTCCCCCTGCCTGGCCTGGAGCCTGGTGGGACCGGGCCACACGGGGGACCCCAGAAGACAGGGAGGGGGCCCCACGGAGCCAGGCTCGGCCGCGTGGAGGACAGAAGCCCCAGCGCTGGTCACACAGCCAGGTCACACCACAGAGCCGCGTGTCTGTCCAGAGACACCTCCTGAGCTCTCCCGGGAGGAGCGCGACCTTGGGCCTTTGGGTGCAGGACACAGGAGGCCTCAGCGGTCGGGCCAGCAGCCGAGGTTCTGCAGAGACGTGGAAATGTGCTCCCTGTGCCCGGTCCCTGACCCTGGGCCAGCCTCCACTCGGGGAGCAGGGATGCAGCGGTGGAGGGAGGGAGGCTGCTTCCTGGGGGCCATGAAGGGGAACGGCGGGGCGCACTGTGTGGGGTGAGCCTGAGGCCGCTCTGGGTCTGGGCAGTGACCGCTGTGGTCCCGGTGGGGTCGGGCTCAGACAGTGGAGCCAGGCCTGCTGGAGACAGGGCTGGGGACACTGGGTGGCCCTGAGCCCAGCCGCAGCGGACAGGATCCTCCTTGGCCAGGCCGCAGGGTAGGACTGCCTCCTCCCGCCAGGGAAGAACGGACGTGCTCCGTGACCCGGGAGGCCCTTCCTGCCCCACGGTGCTGCCCTCGAAGGTGCCGGGGACTGAGAAACCCCCCGAGGGCCAGGGCTGCCCGTCAGTCCCATTCACAGTGTTAGGAATCCATTACAGAATAATTGTCTCATCGATTTGCTGCTGACGTATTTACTGCTTTCGCTCTCAGATCGGAAAAGATACAGTGTAGCTAACGTAACTTAGCTGCCTACTGTCCGTGTCCTAGATGTTCAGAGCAGCCCCCAAGTCTCCTGTGAGGAGCCACCTCCCCCACTTCCTGGCCTGTGGTTTGGGGGTGCTGACTGCACCCCAGAGCCAAGCTGGACCGTGGGACTCAGGCCCGGGTGAACTGGTCCCTTCCATTCTGCTGTGACTGGTTCCGGGGTGGGCGTGTGACCCGACCGGAGCCCCGGGCTCCAGGCTCAGGACCTCTGTCTGAACAGACGGGATGGAGGGTCTTCCCGTGTCACCAGGAGGCAGGTCCGTCTGAGCAGGAAGCCGACAGGGAACACAGGCGTGGAGGGTGCAGGGGGAGCTGGGTGCCCCGGATTAAGCAATTCGAGACTCCCTCCTGGGCTCTGTGGATCCCTGTGTGGATCAGTCCCCCTTTCCTTCAGCCAGTGTGTGTCGGGTCTTCTGTCACTTGCAGTCTGTGCAGCCCTCACCGATACGGGGTCAGGACCCCTCGAGGGCAGGGGGCGGGGGGAGTCCCTCCCCAGGGGACCGGCCCTGGAGCACCTCGGGAAGTTCTACCCCGAGGAGGTTCCTGCTCATGACAGCCCTTTACAGACAGGAGAACAAGGCACAGAGGGGGCTAATAGCAGGGGCTGAGACAGGATGGAATCTAGAATCTTCCTCCTTTGGTCCTGCAAGTGGCCTCTCACCCCAGCGATGGAGCAGCCCCCAGATGGCATGTAGTGGACCCCCTGCTTTATGAATGGGGCAGCAAGGCTGGTAAAGGGCTGGTCCTGGTCAGAGAAGGTGACCAACCGCCAAGCAAGGACTTGAGTCCCGGGCTCCCCAGTGACCCCCACCCCACGACCCCCGAGCAGCTCTGTGCAGGCAGGACCACCGCTGATGGCCCCGAGTCCAACTTACTTGAAGGCGCTGGGGTCCCCGTGTATCTTGTAGTTGTCGGCGCTGATCTGTGAAATGACCCTGGTCACAGCAACAAGGATGCCGACATTGACCTGCACGAGGGGAAGACCAGGACCTGAGGCCACGGCCGCACCTGCAGAGCCCTGATCCCACCAGGCAGCCGCCCATCCCGCCCCCAGGGCTCCAAGTGAGCAGGTGGCGTCTCTGCGGAAACCAACCCCCAGGGGTCCCTGTGCATTTCACTCCCCTTGCCACGGGCAGCGGCACCCTCTGGGAGCACATCCGTGCCGGCGAGGAAGGTCTGGCCCCCAGAAGCACAGCAAGGCAAGGCCTGGGGTTCAAACCTCACTTCAGCATGGCTCCGTCTGAGCGCCCCTGCACCACATGCTTGTGCCCTTGTTTCCCCATCTGATGAGAAACAGTCAACACCCACAGTGCAAGGACGAGAAATCATATCCATGAAGCCCCCTGTGCACCACTTGTTCTCACTCCCCGGCCGAGGCTAGGTCACCCATGGAGGCCACAGTGCAGGGGACTGCACCTGCCCAGTGCTCCCGTGGGGTCAGTGGGCTGGGTGGCGGGGCTGAGGGGGTCTCTGCAGAGGCTTCGGCACAACCTGTCCCTCCTGCGGGCAGCTCTACGGGGCCCTGGCCGAGCCCGGCAGCAAGGGGAAGTGAGCGCGTGGACTTCCTTCTGCTGCCGCTGGATTCAGGGCTGAGCTGCGGCTGGGACCCTCTCTTCCCTCTGGTAACCTCGGGAGGTCAATGACAAAGTCGCTGAGGAGTCCAGCTCCAAGCCAAAATCCTATGTGCACTTCCAGGCCTGACCACAGCCAAGGACAAGGCTTTCCCTGGCAGACCTCCCGGGAGAAGCGGCCCTCCCCACCCAGCCTGGTGCCCAGCAGAACCAGCCGGCACTGTGGGGCTTCGGGCCTCCCACCCCGGCGGCCGGTCCCACGAGCAGGTCTGCATGCCCAGCCCAGGCACCTGCACCTGAGGCCTCCTCACGGGGGCCCCAGCCTGAGGCACCGCTGCCGACCCCCTTACCCTGCAGTCCCCACAAACTCAGTGCTTTTCCACAGCAGCTCTTCTCAGGCCCCCTCCTCCCCAGCCTCGGCCACCTGTCCTCCAGGGCTCCGTGCGCGCCCTGGACGGAGAACCCGGGACGGCGGGGGGGGGTCCTCCCCACTCAGCCCCAGCCTGCACTACTGCAATCCGCCAACGAAGGTTCGCCAGCAGCCTGGCTCCGTGTCTCCACCAAAGCCTCCAACCTGGGGCAGCTTGGCTCCTGGCTGCGGACCCCCGTCACCTACCTCCTCTCCCGCCTCCACGAGGATCCTAACAGAAGTCCCCCAGCGCCAGGGAGGAGGAGAGGAGTCACTGGCAGCACTGCCCTCCTCCCCTCCCCCGCCAGCCATGTTACAACCACGAGAAAACCGCACTCAGCCACGTGGAGGAAGGACGGGCAGAGTGAGGCCCCAGAGGTGCAGGGACTGTTCCAGACAGCGGCCGCTCACAGGAGTCCACAGATAGCTCAGCTCTGAGAGCCACAGGCGGTCACGTCGGCAGCACACCCGCTGCTCCCTGCGACCGGAGCGCGGGGCCGCCAGGAGTGCCTGTTCCACCGAGACTCAGCTGCTTTCCTGAATAAATGCTTTTTGGCTTTATGCTTTGGGGTAAAGTCTAGATTCTGATGATTCCTGCAGGACTTCCCATGCATTTTGACCGGAGGTGCGTGCTGGTCCCATCCACCACCCTGCAGGCCCGCCCGGCCTCACCCACTCTTCGATCGACATCCTGGGCTCCTCACGCCCTGGGCAAAGCTGAGGCCTTGTCTGGAACAACACAAGCCTGGAGACCACGGGACTATGCACAGCAGGCGCCGGTCTGGGGACGGCCGTGGCCCACCCGCTCTACAGCAGGACCACGGACCCGGGCCGCTCTTCCCACGCTGACAAAGCCAGAGTCCAACAGACATCGTGTGGGAAAGGCCCCGGACGGGCGAGCATGTGTTTACACTCGCCTCTCGGCATAAAGCCCGGAGGATATGTGAGTAATTAGCACCAGGGGGTCTGCTGGGGGCAGTGGCACAGGGAGCTGAGAAAGAGCTGAGCAGATGGTTCATAGACGTTAAGCTTCTCTTTCAAATTCCTAAGCATGTGGGTTAAAATTCCAGAATCACGTTACCCCTCGTCCACCGGCACCCACGTGACCCAGGGCCTGCCCTCGGCCCGCCGTTGGCCGAGGCCATGAGACTGCCCCCCAGGGGAGAAGCAGGGGCACACAGACGGTGCCTGACGGGACTGTGGGCCTCTCTCGCCTCCTGGCCTCTGCAGGAAGTGTGGCCACCACGGGGAAGTCGCTGCCATTGCCGGCAGCTTCCCATCAGCATCACTTGCTGTCCAGGCAAGATTTCTCTGGGTTCCTTCCTCTGTCTCTCTGTCCCCGCTGGCTCTGTGCTTCCCTCTGGCGAGCGCTCTCTGACCTCGGTGGGACAGTCCCCCTGCCTACCCACCCGCAGCCCTCCCACCCCGCGACCAGCTCATTCCGGCGGAGGCTGCGCCAAAAACCCCTAGGGTTTTGGGAACGTCTGGAGCAGAAGCGGGCCTGCCCCTTACCCCGGCCACTCGTCCTGGCCGGTGCCTGGCTGCCCGTGGGGGAGGCCCCGGGGTGTGGAGGCCCGTGCGCCTCCAACTGGCGGTTTCATCAGCTGGGCACCCCCGTGTGACTTCGGCCAGCAGGCTACTTCTGACAGAGGCTGCAGGAATAATTCGTGGGCCACATTTCAGCAGAAAAGAAAAAGGGGGAAGGATCTGCACTCAAGGTCATGTGACCGTGGGAGGAGGTCAGGGCTGCACGGGGCTCTGGAGGTCGCACCGCGTCCTGCTCCCTGACCTGGCGAGAAGCTCCGGGGATGCGTGCCACGACTCACAGGGAAAGCATTACACGGAAATGCACAGGAGACGCCGCGATGTGCGTCCACAGCTGTTCCTCTGTCCCTGTGGGCACCTGTGTCTGGGCCTCTGTGACCCACACCATCACCCTGCCGCATCTGTGCTTCCGTGGACACGGCACCCAGCCTCTCCTCAGAGGAATGTCTCTCTTGCCCCGTGGGGCCTGCACAGAACAGGGCCCCCGAGTGGCTGAAAGCACCCCCGGGGACTCTGCCACCCACAGGGCCCCCATGCGGGGCGTCTAGACATGACAGCTTGTACAACACCTGCTGGTCCCGTGGGCTGTGCGCACTCGGGCCGTCCACCCTCCCAGCCAGAGAATGGCAGCCACTTCCCTTCCTGATCTGAGAACAGTTTGTGCAGTGACAAGGCGGACTGAGGCTCACTTCTGCTCTTTTCTCCCCAGCGACCCTTCACTGTCCCCCAGAGTCCTGCCCCAGCAGGACCAACCACACCAGAACACGCAGAAACCACCCATCCCGATCCAAACAGGCACCTTTCTAAAACGTGTTCCAAACTGGCAAGCCCCCGTGGGTGCTTTCAGCCACTCGGACTGTTGGAGCCTATATCCCCGGGCGGGAGCCCCTCCCCGGGGAGCCACCGGTTCTGCGGCCCTGAGCACTACCTCACAGGAGCCTGGGCCCAGGCGCGCACACGTGGCACAGGTGCGCTCTGGCCACGCTTGTTATTCTGAAACCCGCCGTCTTCGTTTGGAAATGAGGTGCTCTGAGAAAACGGGGACAACCCCAGACACACAACCAGGGGTGCCCTGAGGGGATAAGAGGCAAGCCCCCCAACTGCTGGGCCAGTGTGAGGCTGGACAAGTGCAGCCCCCAGCCCCGAGTCTACTTAGCCGCTGCAGCACACAACCCACCACAACCGTGGCCGTGTGCCCGCATGACTGTGTATGGAAGTGGGCAGAGGGCCACACTGGGCCACAGTCGTGGATGCCCGACTCGGCTATGAAACCCCGGAGCCCCTTCCACCCATGCCTCCCGTCTTGGCCCCAGTACTCCCCATGTCCCCTCGGAGCACGGCAGCCCTCAAGCTGGCTCCAAAATGGAGTCACCTGGGAGACTGGACAGGCCAGATCCAATCAAACCAAAAACCTCCAGAGATGGGGCTCAGGTGGAAACCAGTAATTCCACGATGTGACGTGTTTGAGGACTGCTGGCCTTCAGGGTGGCTGGCGGGCCAGGAGCTAACGCCCCCTGAGCCATGGGAACAGGGGCTCCCGTGAGCCTGGAGAACACGGGGTCACCAGGACCCTGCACTGGACCCCACGCCGTGGTGGCTGCTGGGGAAGGATCCAGGCAGGGCGGCCTCCGGTCCCCAAAGTCACGTTACATCTCAGATCACCCAGAAATGTCTGGGACGCGGGATGCTCCTGCCCCGGGCTCCGGATCTGGAGGGCAAAGGTCAGCACAGACAGAGGACAAGGCCCCCGATGCTCAGGCCTTCAGTTACTTCCCTTCTTCACTCTCATCAGCAATGTTCCCTTCAGACCCCCTCCCGACGTCCACGCTCTGACCCCGGGAATTCATTTGTCCAGGGGCCCGGAGTCTGTTCTGAGCCTGTTTCTACCTCTGGGTGGAGCAGATGAATGGTCTTCCCGGACCCCAGACAGCGGGTGGAGCTCGGGATCTCTGACTGCAGGCCCGTGACCCCCTAGAAGGCTGGGTGGGCAAGGGGTCGCGGCAGAGCCTCAGGCAGCCCCGGGGACAGGGGACGGCCCTGGATTTGCAGGCTCGGTCACACACCACCGCGGTCTCTCCTGCACTGAAAACAATTCCCCGCAGAACACGGGCCCTACTCAGAGCCCCTTGTTCGTGCAGTGGAGGGGCGCTCTGATCCACCTCCCCGGGCCCTGCCCGACCTCTCGGCCCTTCCTGGAACAGGTGTGTGATCTGCCCTGGACGCGCACCCCCCGCCTTGCTTGGGGCTCAGCCCGGTCGGGCTCCTCTGGAGCTCCTCTCCCCCAGGAAGCTCTTCTGTCCACGGTCCATCCCCAGACGGCGGCTCAGCTTCCCAGGGCTGTGGCCAGGCCGTGGGGGCCTAACGTCACCGCGACAGGGCCCTGAGGTGCTCCCACCCACCCTGCCCGCCTGCAGGCCCCACTGTCCGCCCCAGAACAGGGGTGGTGGTGATGCTACTGGTTCCTCTGGTCTCACCATGGACCCAGCCAGAAACAGCCAGGGCTGCCACATCGACACAAGATCTCCGGCGTCTGATGCTAGTCCTGAATTCAAAGTGAAATACAACAACAAGGAAGCTCTGGGCCACACGGGCCATTTCTGTGGGCAGACTCGCCCCTCTGTTTGCAAGCTGTGAGGTGAACGCAAGCTTCCCTTCCCTCCTTCCACCCCACCCCCAGCATCGGGATGGTCTTCTCGCCTCCTTTCTCTCCCGGACTCCCCAGAAGGGCTCTCTTCTCCCCGGGGCCCCAGCCTGAGGCAGGGTCTTGCTCCCTACGTGCTGGGGTCTCAGCAACATCTTCCCACGGGCCCTCTCTGCCCCTCGGCCCTCACCTACCTATCCAGGATGTGTCCCCCCGACACCCTATTCGTTCCCCTGGGAAAAGGCCATCCCAGGCACGTGAGGAGGGCTCTGGGGAGATGACAACGGGAACGGCCTCCAGTCCCTCCGTTCCTACAGCTCCTGCACAGAGAGGCCTGGGGGCTGGTGGGAGGAGTGGGCTGGGGTAGGGGCACCCCTGGGAGGGCAGAGCCTGCCGCCTGCAGGACAGATGCTCCCAATATCACCTGCTGCTCCTCCTGGACACTGAAGGACTGGGGGTGGGGACGGGACGTGTACATGTGGGTCAGCTATACCCCTCTACTCGCAGAATTACCCGGGGAGTGCGGAGGCCGGGGCTGTGACCAAGGCTGTGGCCAGGAGCTGTGGCCACGCTGTGGCCTATGGAGGATTGAGCAGCCGTGGCCACCCACAGTCCCGCACAAAGGAGCTGAGGGTGAACACCAGCCTCACTCCCCTCCCACCCTCTGATCTCCTGCCGGCACCTCCACAGGCCAAACCTCCCCAAAGTCAGGAAGCAGGAGCCTGGTCCAGGTCCGTCCAGACCAGCCCCTGGGGCACGGCCAGGCTAGCAGGGGGATCCCATTGGGAGGAGTGATGGACTAATGTCCACACCACCCCAATCCCCCTGTTACCCAGCCCTCCCACCAGGGCCCCCGCTGGGCCCTCAAAGCTCAGAGCTCAGACCACAGCCTGGCCCTCCAGAGGCTCGGGCACTGGGGACATGGAGGACCTAGGAGGCTCTGAGGGCCGCACAAAAGAAGGAAGTCACCCCCATCGCCTGTCTATCCCTGTGAACACCCCAGAGCAGGTGTCACCCGGCAGGAGACAGGCAGAGAACAGGAGGAGCCAAGTCAATGCCACGGAACAACGGGGCTGCTGTGTGGGGCTGGCACCACCCGCTGTCCTTCTCATCCCAAACAGACAATGGAGACACCACGATGGTGTGCCAAACCCCGTCCTTCTGGAAAGCCTTCGCCGGGAAGGCACTGCCCCACCAACGTGCGGCATGAGCATGATCTGTGCAGAATTTTAATGAGGAAAGAATTAACAAGTCCTTAAGCATCTTCCCTCACATTCACTTCTAATTAACCACCAGGGCCCAGGGCCTTGGTTGATGCCAACGAACTTGGAACAAAGTCAGCTGGGCTTTCAGATGAGCTGCCAGGGAAAGAAGCAGGGACGAGAGAAGGAAGGGTGTGGAATACAGGAGACCCCCACCCCACACAGGGAGGAGCAGCCCAAGTCCCTGCTGACCGCCCTCAGCAGTGACCTGTCCTCAGATGGCAGGCTGGGAGGGCGGTGAGGGGTGATGAATGGGGACACTGAAGGGACAGGTGTCTGGGAGGCGCCCCTTCCCTTCCCTGTCAGCCTGGCGCCCCAGCTAAGGCGAGACTCCGTACCCTTCAAAGGCAGCAGCTCAGAGGCAGTACCATGGCCTGGTTGATTGTCCTGGGGTGTGTGGAGGGCACATCCTGGGGTCCCAGCAGAAGGGGTGCATGTGGAGAGCCTGTCCTGGGGTCTTGAGGCAGGGGTGCACATGGAGAGCAGGTCGAGGGTCCCAGCACGGGAGGGTGCACACAGAGCACATCCGGGGCCCTGGCCCAGTGTGTGGAGCGTGTATTCTGGGGTCCCACCTGGGGTTCAGGAGATTATATACGTGGATTTGCACAGGGCGGGCAGGAAGGGTCTGGGGAGGCCCTTCTGTGGGCCACCCCCTCCTGATATCAGTGCCCGGCACTGCTGGGGAGAGATGTCCACATGGGATGGCAGAGACAGCCCGTCCCTAACCAGGCCTCATGCCAGATACACGCGCACATACCCACCAGGACGCGAGCACTAGCACCCTTTTCCTCCACAGCTCCCCCACGGCCTCCTGGGGACCCCCCAGCTCTGGCCCCTGAGCATCCAGGTGATGCTGGCCAATCATCCGCTTCCATCCCCAGTGACTGGTTCTGGGACAGACATGCGGCCCACAGCAGCCAATCAGAACTGCCCTGGGACTTCCACAGGCACCACTGGGAAGAGTTTCCCTCCTTGCTCTGTCCGCACACCCAGAGGACGTGCTGCGTCCCTGCCGGGGAGAGTCCGCCTGAGATGCAGCCAGTGCAGAGGCACCGGGCCACGGGGCACATCTGCTGACATCACTGCGAGCCTGATCCCCTGCGTTTCCCAGGACTGAGCCTTTCCTACCTACAGGGGATGGACGGGTTGATTTTTCATTATGTTCAAGTAGCCAACATTTAACTATCTACTGAAGATTTAACCTGGGTTGTGTTCCTGGGGAGGATGCAGAGGGGAGGACAGAAGGAGCGAAGGGAGGAGGGGGGCGGAGGGGGAGGGCAGGAACAAAGAGGGGAGGGGAGGAGGGGGCGGAGGGGGAGGGCAGGAACAAGGAGGGGAGGGGGAGGGGAGGAGGGAGGGGCAGAGGGGGAGGGCAGGAACAAAGAGGGGAGGGGGAGGGGAGGAGGGAGGGGCGGAGGGGGAGGGCAGGAACAAAGAGGGGAGGGGGAGGGAAGGAGGGGGGCGGAGGGGAAGGGCAGGAACAAAGAGGGGAGGGGGAGGGGCGGAGGGGGGTTAGGAACAAGGGGAGGAGGACCTCCACACTAACGCCGCCCCCCACCCCCCTCCCCGGCACCCCACTCCAGGCCCGGATTCGGTGGTCGGCCGCCCCGGCGCCCTGGGCTGCCCCTCGGCGGAACGGCGAGCACCACCTCTCCGGCACCTCCTCGCGGCGCAGGCGGGGACACGTCACGGAAAAGCACTTCCACGTCTCAGGGGAGGGTCCTACACTGAGCCTTTCTTACTAACGCTGACTTCACGGGAGGCACCTGCGAGGACACCTGGATCCCCCTCCCCGAGGAACACCAGGGACTTGACCCACAGGAACCGCCCGCACGACCTCAGCGCCACTGAAGCTCCCCGGGTACCGCACCGGCGCACCCCGAGTCGGGCAGAAGCGCGGACCTGTGCCCAGACCGCACACCTGCCGGGCGGAGAGGAGCTCCCCGCCACCCCCCTGCCTCGCGCGCGCCACCCCTCCTCTACGAACCACAGCCGGATTTCCTCGTAACTTCCTCCCCGACCTGGAGTCCACGTGCTTTCGGGAACTTGGACCCTGAACTCCAGCCCCAGGGATAGCGCCGTGACCCAAGCCTGGCCAATCAGAGCTCTCCACTCCTCTAGCTCGTGAGAGCTGGCCAATCAGAGCACTCCCCTACAGCCCCAGTGAAGGCTGGCCAATCAGAGCACTCCCCTCTTCTAGCGGCGGTGAGGGCTGGCCAATCAGAGCACTCCCCTCTTCTAAGCGCAGTGAGGGGCCGATGATGAGCAACGTTCCAAGCCAGGCCCTACAGAAATGATGACACTCAACCCAGGGCTTTCGTGGGAAATGTAGGAAGAACAATAGCTAGAAGAGCAAAGGCGGTTTTTAGACTTTTGTGAGATTCCTGAGCTCTTTATAGCGGCAGGGCCCCCACCTGAGGACGGAGCCCCCTGGCCGGAAGCAGGAGCCCCCACCCTGTGCGGCAGCCTCACTTGAGCACTGGGCCAGGCAGAGCAACTAGCGGGGCCCCTCGGGTCGCATTCTGTCCTCCGTGATCTCGGGAATTCTGCAGGGTGGTCCCCCCAGACGTGCATGACCGTCCCTGTTGCAGTTGCGGTGGCAGGGTGGGAGCGAGACCCGGGAGGGAAAGACCCCACCGGCACACAGTGCCAGTCGGAGGCTGCGTGCACCTGCGCCGCCCCACACGCCATCTAGGCACCGCACGCCGGGGGCGAGGGGAGGCTGCGACAGGCTGTGGACGGGGTCACAGGGCCCACAACGCCCAGCCTCTGTGTCCCCACAAGCAGGGGCTTACCACAATGATGGACAGCGCAGGGGCCACGAAGGCCCACACAGCACCGCTCGTGATGGATAGCCAGCAGCTGTGGACGGAAGCAGAGCGTTAGGTCCGCACCACTGTTCCTCGGCCCCGGGGGGGCTCTGGGCACCTCCACCCAGATCAGCTGCCAAGACACTATCTTCTCCCACTATGGGGCCCGTCTGAGCAGCCAGAATAACACTGAACCCCGACAGATGTCTCTGCATCCTATCCACGATGATTTCCTGCCTCTCATTCTTGGGGTGAACAGTCCTCGTGTCTCTCTGCCCTGCTTCCTCCCGACAGCTCCAGGGCCAGGACAGGCCACGGCACCTGCTCTGAGGAGGCGGCATTTCCGGGAAACCCACGCGAGTCTGAGTGGCCCCTCTGCAAGGTGCACGGCCAACCCGGGCTCCCAGAGGCGGGCGACTGCACGCAGAAAGCTCTGCTTCCCCACATTTTCCTGCAGAATTCGACATCCAGGAGGATCCAACCGTTCTGTCCTCTCGGGAAACGGGGAGCCCCCTGAACCTCCGCTGGGGGGGCGGAGAATGCCTAGGGCACAGCTGGGGCTGTTTCTTACTCTCTCTGGCCTCCTTATTGCCAGGGCCTGGGTGGGGGGCAGCCCCGTACAGACAGATGGTGCCCGCAGAAGAACATGGGATGACAAGGGCAGCTGTTGGGGGGGGGCTCACAGTGGTCTTTTCCCTCCTGCCAAACACAAGGACGTGTCCCTTCACTTACTTTTTATTTGTGCCATAACTGTTCATGGCAGATGACACTGAAATGATACAGATCAGGAGAGGAAAACCTGCGGAGAAAGAGAGCAGGAAATCATGGCCGCTTGCTTCGGGAACCCTCATTCCTCAGTCATTCATTCCTTTGGGCCTGGTGTGTGTGAACCATGAGCGCGAAGCACGGAGGCGCGAGCAGCAGGCCTCCAGGAGCCTCAGTCCAGATGGAGGGCTGACTCACCCTCACGCACACGCACTCACATGCACCCACACGCGCACCACGCACAGACTCGGAATCCTATCCCTTACAAATCCACGCCTGTTTCTGAAAACGACCCATCTCGCTGCTGGGACAGCAGCACGTCCTGGGGGCCTCTGTCCAACCCGCTCGCCCCACAGCAGCCTCTCCCCTGCTCCCCTGCCCTGAAAGAGGGGGGCCCGGGGATCCCTCCACCCGCTGGCTGGCTCCTCGAGGGTACCAGAGAGAAAGGGCTCCCGATAAGGAGGCTGCGTTCTGCTTGTTCCCAGAGCGGAGGCTGGGCTGGTGACCATGCACGAATGCCCCCCCCCCCCTCCGGCCTGCGCTGAGCCTGTGGCTGCAGAGGAAACAAAGCACAGCCTGCTCCGGGCTCTGCCTGGGCACCTCCCAGCAACAGCTCCCGGCCTTTCTGGCTTCAGTCTAAACAGTCTTGAACAGGAGTTTCCTGGAGAGCTGTCCTATCTCTGATCCACTGCTTCCGTGTCTAAATAGTTCAAATACATTACAGAACGTCTAGGCCTCCACAGAGGAGACCCACCGGCCTCTGGGGAGAGGTAGCCAGGCCAGGGGCCTCTTACAGTGGCCCTCTGTTACATGAGTGCCCCACAGGGGAGCACGACCTAAGAGAAGGCAGACTTCTCCCTGGTGCTGCACGCACTGGGCTCCTGCCTGGACAGACCCAGAGCCACAGGAGATGAGCTGGCTCACTGGGACCTGACTCCAGCCCAGCGGCCCACTCCCTGGGGGCCTCCGTGTCCACAAATGTCACAGGGCATCCTCACTGCCTGGCTCATTTGTGGGAAGATCACATGGCACCTGAGATGGTGAGAGGTCGGAGGCGGATCAAGCCCTGGGCACCGTCAACCACCCAGCGCTCCAACAGTGCCACCAAGGCCCCCCAGTTTCACTGAGGAAGTGTAGGCCAAGGGCCATCCTTCCTCTGGGTCCACAGCACAGCAGGCAGCCACAGGGGCCCCATCCTGGTGGGTTCTGGAAGGTGTGGCAAGGACCGGAGGTGCCGCTGGAGGTGGGTTTCAAACTCGGTGGCCAAGGCCTACACCCTCCTGCCCCGGTCCTGGCCCACGTCGGTGGCTGGCATCTCTTTGCTGCCTGAAGTAAAACGGAGGAGTCAAAGGTTCTTTTTCTGCATTCACAACTCATTTGATCCCAAATGCAGTGCTGGGGGCTCCCTTGTCATTTCTTCCTGTGTCTGCCTCCCGGTGTCCCAGGCCACCCCGTGGGGCAGTGACAGAAGCATCTGTCTGAGCAGAGGGCAGCCCCACTGTTTGTGGTTTCTGAGGCAAGTGGCAGGAGCCCAGCTCATGGCTGTGTACTCTCTTTTTTAAAGATTTATTTATTTATTTGAGAGAGAGTGCCTGGAGTGGGGGGTGGGGCAGAGGGAGAGAACCGGACGTGGGGCTCCATCCCAGAACCCTGAGATCACAACCTGAGCTAAAGCCAAGAGTCAGATGCTTAACTGACTGAGCCACCCAGGCGCCCCAGTGTGTTTGTTCTTAAGAAGAAACATTTCAGAGGTGGGAGGATGAGGGTGCAGGAAACAGCCAGTAGGAAAAGCCTGGGCTCTGGGGCCACGGGACGCCTGGGTCGGTTCCCAGGGCCACCCCGGACCTGCTGTGTGGCCTCGAGGAAGTGCCTGACCCTCTCTGAGCCTCCATGGTCTCCCTGCGGAAATGGAGGTAAGAGCACCCTGCTCCCCGTCTGCTGTGAGGATCCCCTGTGTTGTGGCCACGTGTGTGAGGGACGAGGCACTCCATGTGTCAGGTCAGTCCCTATAATCTGCACTGTCATTCACCAACTCCGGTCCCGCTCCCGCTGTGGCCATCCCAGGAGCCGTGCAGGCACATACGGGCTTCTACAGACAGTTCAGGGTCCGTCTGGCCCTGTCGCATGGACACATACTTCGTAGAGTTGAAGACGCGCTCTCTTTGGAATGCGGTGGTGCTTCTCTGGCCTGGGGAGGGGCCGTGGGAGCCACCGGCCAGGACAGAGCAAAGAGCCCAGGGAGCGGATACCAGGAGACCTGACACAGGGGCAGCGGCCTCACAGGAAAGGGCAGAGAGGAGGCTGGAGACAAGTGGCCTGCCCTCCTTCTGCCACAGGCTTCCAGAGGCTTCTTTGGGCGTGGGGGAGTCTTGTTGCGCGGAGGCTGCTGGGGCCACCAGCCTCGTTCTGGGCCATGGGTTGTGGACAGAAGTGACATGTGCCTCTATAGGCGGAGTATTTAATTCCCAGTGTGAGGTCCTTCCGTGTCCTCTCCTCTCCCCCAGAAACCAGCAACAGTTTCAGGCAGCGACCCCTCCACGTGGGACCTGCCACGAGCACAGCGCCGCCCACCGCCACTGGGGACACGGAGCAGAAATGGGAAGTAAAGGCGTGCGGCTTTACAGCAAGCAGAGCTGGGTGCTGCTTGTTACCGCAGCGCTGGGTGGCCCAGACCAGCGCCCCTGGACTTGGCACTGCCCCGGCTCCCTGGAGCTCCGAGCAGCCCTGGGGAAAGGTGACCGCAGTGAACCATGATTCAGTGTGTGCCCCAGATGAGTGGGAGCTCACCAGAGAAAGCTGGAACAGGAGAAGAAAGCAGCTACACTTCTCTCACTTCTGAGCTGGACCTCAGACATGCACATCTGCAGCAGGGATGTGCAAACTCTCGAACATTCCTCACCATCTCCTCTCCTCCACCCACGGGGACACTTCAGGGACAGACATCATGGTTCACTCACCTTACGGGTCTGACCTAGGGCCTGACATCTAACAAAACCTCAAGTTATGTTCTTGATTTGAACACCTCCAACCCCCAACTCAGCATCAAAACAGTCCCATGGGTCTCAAAGCCAGGGAGGACTCTGCAAGAAGAGGCCTTTGTGCAAGGGGGGCTCCCTACAGCGTGGTCTCCCGGTGCCCTGGGTCAGCCTCCAGCTCTTCTGCATTAGAAACTGAAGGTTGAGAGGGCCCAGCTGCATGCAGACTGTCTTTACTTAGGCCCAGAGCGAACTCTACCCCAGTCAGAACGAGAGAGCCACGTCCTGAGCCCTGAAGACATCCCCCAGGGGGAAGCTGATGTGCAGATGGCTGCAGGCTGCCAGGTCCGGCACAGGGCTCCCTCTGCAGAGAGCAACATCAGGGGCTGCACCCTCACACACCTGCAGGGACTAGGCTGGTGTGAGAAACTACACCATCCCAGACAGTGCTGTCAAAAAGGATTATAAACTCGGGGTTCCCAGATCGCCTCACTTTTCAAAAGATCTCTATAATTTCTACAAAATCTCAAAATGTTTAAATATTGGTAAAAATAACTCATTTTTTCCCCTCCATACTGCCAACAAATAAGAGCCCAGGGGGGCTCAGGCTCTAGGGTGCTCCCAGGCTGGGTGTGGGACATCCTGGCCGCCACAGGCAGCTCCCTGCATGGCCCCAGCAGTGGGGGGGTGGGTGGCTGCAGAAAGCCAGGAGGGTGCAGAATGTACCTCCCTCACCCAAACACATTACATCAAGCAGCTCAAAGCACAAAATAAACATGTTTATCTGCTCCCTGCACAATTAGGGCTGTGAAAATTTAAATCCATTTGAAGAAACCCAGGAACAAGCAGCAGGTCGCTAATGCTGGATGAACACTTTCTCGCAAATGCAAGCGTGGCAGGGGTCAGTGACACGGCCCACTCTACACAGATTGGCAGGAAGCAGGCACTCCTCGGGACGGGGTGGGCAAGAAGGGAATTCACGGAGTCAAGTCAGTAGGGAGGGGGCTTCCGGAATGAAGCCAGGAGCGGCTCCACAGACCCACCCCTCAGTGAGACAACCCTAACTGATGAAAATTAGTCTAAAAAAAACCCCAACCATAGAAAGTTTCTGTACATTTTTGTAAGGCCACACAATAAATCAGGAAAGACTAACTTAAGAAAACCTACTAAGTCTTGGTAAGAACAGAGGGTCCGTGACACTCGACTTGAGCCATGACTTGCTCCACCCCAAGGAGACAGGCCTCCCCCACTGGGCCCCTCAGAGCTACACTATCTCATGGGGGTGAGCTGCCTGCATTTCTCCTTGCAGAAGCTCTATCCCAGGTAAGAGCAACAGAGATCAGATCTCCCTTCCTCCATCCAGCCTCAACCCATAGTGTGCAGGACCTGTCCCTGCTGTGACTCGCGGAGAACCCAGGGCCCCGACTGCCCTCCCCTAAGGGCACTCACAGGGCAGAGGCTCTACGCTGTAAGAGGCAAGCTGGCCTTAGAGGCTGCCCACCCCGCCAGGGCCATGCTCCAACACTGGGGTGCTGCCCAAGAGAGACGAGCGGCGGCCCCTGCCCCAGCTCCAGAGCCGTGCCTCAGGAACTCTTCCCAGGTACGGGGGAAACAGACCATTAGCTCAGACAACTCCAAAGCACTCTTCATGCGAACTGATTTGTTTGGGAACAGAGAATGGGGAAGTTCAAGCCTAAGAGCATCTGGCCTCTTGGAGGCGTGTCATATGAAGGTGAAATCACATCCCACCTACTCCCACCTGCCGCATCCTATGCCCCCACCCCCACCGGCCCCCTCCCATCCCCACCTACCCCATCCTATCCCATAGTAGTAGCGGTGCTTGCTGTTCTCTGAGCCAAAGACCTTGATCACCATGCTGTAGAGATGCAACCCTTCCACCAGCATCCACGCAAAGGCGCTCAGGAAGAAGTAGTGCAGGAGCATGGCCATCACCCGGCAGGGGACCTAGGATCAAAGACACAGAGGGCACATCTCTCTGGGTGTGAGCAGTGGGCGGTTCCCGGCATCTCTGGTCACGTGCCTTCATTTCCCCCCACAACGGAGGGGAGCGGAGGGGCCCTGGCTCCCCTTCTAGTCCCGGCGGTTCCGGCACAGTGATTGGTTCAGGAGAGCGCAGGGAATCAGGCCCGGCCAATCAGCATAAAGGCTCTGGTCCTCTGAAGCAGGATTGGCTCAGGCTGGGCACATGAGCAGACCAGCCCAATGGGGTGGGCTCTGGGGAATGGGCGGAGCCGCCAGGGAGCGAGCCGGGGAGCCTGGGGCTTTGCAGACACGTGGGCCTGGCCGCTGCGAGCACGTCCCTAAGCCGGACCTGCGCCCCGTCTGGTGGCCCCGGGGTCTACGTGGGGTCGGGAAGGGGGCGGAATGATGACAGGGAGGAAAAATAATAATACGTTCAAATACCACCTTCAAAACTTAAAATAATAGAAAAGAGGGAAAAATAAAAGAATTAAAGGCAGAAGCCCAGGGACGGTGTGATATTTGTCGGGCACCCCACGCTCTGCTGTCCCAGACTCCCCGAGATACCAGCTCATTCTCGGGACAGCATCGTGTCCCCGGCACCTCGTTTCCCAGGCGTAGCTGGAGGTCCCTAATCTGCCCCACGTGCGCATCTGAGTCAGGGGTCACGTGCGCAGCGCTCGTCCCTGCGGCCCCTTCCCGTGGGTGTCCCCGCCCACCAGCCCCTCTGGGACTGGGCCCCAAGGTCACTCTCCGTCCTCCGCGGGGCTCATCCCACAGGCACCTTCCTCGAGCAGGACTGCTCGGAGCCCTGCCCCGGGGCTTCAGACACGCATTGACCCGGGGTCCCCGCCAGGGTGATGGGAGCCCGGAGCCTCCGCAGACCTGCTTCCCCTCCCGCGGCCTTCCCGCGGTGGGGCCTCATCCCTCCCGGGGCCGGGGGGGGGGGGGGGGGAGGGGGGGCAGGGAGGTTGCTTGTACAGGCAGCATCCGCAACCCCTGAATGTCTGATGGAAATTCGGAATTCCAGGCCCCACCCAGAGCTACAAACCCAAGACTGTGTTGTAAGAAAACCCGGAGGGCTGACGCATCCAGAGAAGGAGGCTGGCGCATGCCTGGTCCCTCCACGGCTCATGCGGGGCTTTAGATGCCCCTCCGCGCCCCTAAACCTGCGAGGGGGAATCCTGCAGCCCAGGAGGGTGCATCTCTCCCTCGGCAGCAGCCCCAGGACAGACAGATGGGGGCTGAGGACCCTGCGGCAGAGAGGACTGGAAGTTCTGCCGACCCTCACTATTGTAGGATAAAGCCCTCGCTCTGCGTCAGCTGATCCTGTGTGAGTTTTGAAACTACCGACCTGTACTGCTCTGTTCCCCAGAACCCGCTTCTCTTTCTCTCCCGGTGGGAGCAAGCGGGAGTCGGCTTCTCCTTCCCACCCCAAGCCTGGGTCATTTCAGTTTTAGCCCTTAACCTTCTGGGGTTCTAAGACTTCCTAGATCCCCAGTACAAAGGGCAGGGAAAAGGTGGGCCTGGGTCTTCGCATTCCTCTCGCCCACAGCAAGCAGAGGTGGCTGGGGGTTTGTGGTCAGTGCAGCAGTGAAAGGCAAGACTGCGGGGGGCTGACCCTCACCAGAGTCGTCTGTCACCCACTCCCACATCTAGAAGCAAGAGGCTAGGGCACTGCCCCGGAGGGCCTGTCTCCAGGACCAGAGGGCTGCTCGATGTCAGCTCTCCGCACCATGCCCCGCACCCGGCCAGGGCTGGACGGTGAGCTGACACAGAGCAGGAGAGCCAGCGACTCTGCTGCTGAGCGGACGGTGGGCAGAGAACCCAGCTCAGGCAGGCCTTCTTCTGTGCCTCTCCTGGACGAGCCCCTGCCCGACTATCTGGGGGTTGTGGCCTGAATTCTGAGTTGAAGAAACTAGCAGAGGGTGCCAGCCCCAGTGACATCAGAGGGAGGAAGGAGAGGGACAGAGAGGGCCTACTCACTGTGCCAGGCTTGAAGCTGAAGCTGACCAGCAGCAGGATCTGGGCCACTAGGATGGCGAAGGACAGGTTGGCGTGGATGTGGCAGCGCTGGTTCCGGATGGTGCTGACGGAGCTGAGGGTAGAGAGGCAGGGGTGTCCGGGGCCCAGGCCCACTGCTGCTCCCTACCAGCCCCCCAAGGCTGCCAAAGAGGCCTTTACAGAGCCCGCCCAGATGCTGGCTCTGACTCCTCAATGGCTCCCTATTGCTCTTGGAAAGGAATCAGCTCCTGTACAGCCTGCCCGGCCCCTGCTCGGACTCAGCCTGTTCCTTGCTCCTGCTCCAGCTCACGATGCCCCATTCTGGCTCACAAGCAGCCCAGTCCTCTCCAGGCTGCGGCCTTCACACCAGCCGTGCCTCCCTGGGAGAGGACTTCTGCTGGCCCAAGTGTGTGCTCTGCTTCTGGGCACTTGCTCCTGCCCCCCCCCCCCCGGGGCCTGTCCTCAGAGCAGTCCACCTGGCTGTGGCGGGCTTCCTGAGCAAAGCTGGGGGACAGGGGAGCCAAAGAATGAACGTCTCAGCTCAACGCTGGTGCGGGCTCCTCCTGCCAGGCTCAGCTGCTGCCGCCCCTGCCCCCCACAGTCCCTGGAGTTCTGGGGGGGCTGAGGGCCTCTCCCTGTGGGTCGCGCTGCAGCCCCCGACCCCGGGAGCCCACAGTCACAGCCAGGCCAGGTACCAGGTGTCCTCAGGGAACCAGAGCAGGTAAGGAGGGACCCCCGGAGCCTCACCTCCCTTGCACAGGACAGGGAGAGGAGACAAGCTCCCAAGCACCCCCCGAGGGAGGGGACCCCGTCTGGTGTGAGGCCAACAGCCCTGAGCAGCAGCCAGTGTGTCCTTACAGTCATCTGTCCACACAGACTTCCGTTTTCTATCCCAGTTCAGAAAGGGCCACAGAGGGACTCAGCTGCCACCCTCCCCTGGGGATGTACAGACTCCCTTGAGCTCTGACCACATGAGGCTTCAGCGGGAGGGGCAGGGGGCCTCCTGGAAAAGAGCCTTCCTGCCTCTCCAGCTGACACCAGGGGAACCCCCCCCCCCCACAGGGCTGTGACTCTGTTGTCTTCGGGTAAGGGATCCTCCGTTCTGGCTCTTGCCTGCCCAAGGGCCAGAAAGCCTGTGGGCTGGTGACCCTTCCAGAACTTTCCAGCTTAACTAAAGCAGGGTGCCCTCCTGCCTCCCTCCTCTCTTCTCCAACACCCCAACCCCTCCCTGTACCCCAGATCTCAAGATGAAAGGTGACTTTGGAACAGCTTTCCAGCTGGAATGCACCATGTGCAGGTTCTCAACAAGGCCAGGCCTTCGCCACCTCCCAAGGACACATACCGGGCGGGAAACCGAAGTGGGGCAGGCTGGCACTGACATTTACGCAAGAGCACCAGACCTCCCCGGACACGGACACGGGACAGAGCAGAGGATGACTCACGATAGCATGGCAAAGGTGACCAGCGTGAGCACCAGGCAGACCAGGGACACGGAGCAGCCGATGTACGTGATGGACGAGAGCGCCATCTGGTGTTCACGTGTGAGCTGTGTGGGAAGCAGAGCAGAGGTGTCCTCGCTGGTCCAGGTCCCGGAGGCCGGAGGTGACCGGGCTCCCACTGGCGAGGGTCCCAGGGCTGGTGCACAGCTGACTCCCAGGGGACCGCTGTCCCGGCGTGCGTGTGGTGGGGACCACCAGATCCTGCCTCTCCCCCACGTGCCCCGTTACCACCACCGGCGGGGCCCAGTCCCTTGGGTCAGCCCTTGGATTTACGCTGGAACGCTCCCCCCGAAGGGCCACACGCAGATTCCTCCACCCTCCGGCTTCTGTCCTGCTGATGCCTAACTCCTGCCCTCCCAACCCGTCCCCACTCCCGCCACCCAGCCGTGCCTCCTCGTCGAGCCTGCAGCATCCGGGGGGGATTTAGACCCGGACCCAGGAGCCAGAGGAGAGCAGTTTAAGACCTGGGAGAAGGGCCGACTCCTCCCTGAGGACCCCCTGGAGGTACAGGTCTGAAGTGCGTAGAGCCGGGCCAGGGACACGAGCTGAGCCGTCTGAGAGTTCATGTAGTCGGCTCTCATCCCTGACACCCACTGGCACAGAAGGGAACTTGGTAAACGAATCGGACGCAAAGCCACAAAGGACAGTGACACAAGCTACAGCTCACCTAGCAGCACAACCCCAAATGGTGGCTCGTTCAGGTCCGGGAGCTGGAGCCTCAGATCACACTCACTTGACCCCTGGGCTCCTTGAGCCGCGGGCCTAGGAGACCCGCTTCCCCGCGCCTGGCCCTGCAGAGGTCGCTGCTGTGTTTCCTGCTGAGGCTTCCGGCTGTGTGTGCCTCAGAGCCCCTGCCCATCGCCGATGTCCGCACCGCCCCCCCGCCCACCCCACCCCACCCCCCCGCCGCCCCGGACACCAGGCATCAGGGTCCCTCCGACCTCGGTCTCGACACCCTGGGGCCTTCGCCTCGGCTAGGCTGCCCCCTGGCCCTCTCATCAGGATGTAATCAGGAACAAAAGGAGGCAGCTCAGGATGTTTGAGAGCGTCCGGAGGCTCCAACTCCACAGGCTGGGGACAGCAAGTGGATTGTGCAGAGCAATTTGGGAGCCAGCGGGACTGCGCCTGAGGATGGACAACTTAATGGGCTTTATTTCTTCCAGATCTGTGAGTCACCGCTGGTCAGCTCACTCCCCAGGGGCCACAAAACACTTCAGAGCCTTGACCGAATGGAGGCGGGGAAGGAGCAGCCTGGAGCCTGCAGCCCTACATGCAGGAGGGGGAGAGCCCCCATTTGTCACCTCCTGTTTGCCCACGACTTCCCCAAACAGGAGGAATGCACGGGGGCCCTGTGTTCCTACAGCAACATTCTCGGCCACATCCCAGGATCTGGGCCCCAGCTTCCCCCTGTGCAGACGGGCTGGCTGGCGGCGCTCAGATTCATCAGATAGCCCAGGAAGGCACGAATGTGGTCCTGGCGCCACCTGCCCATGCTGCCCACGCCGTGTGGCCTGAGACGCTGGCTCCCGCAACGTGTTGTGAGCAGGGCTCCCTGGACTGGTGTCGCTGGTGTTCGAAACGGTGAGGGAGAGCCGCATTCTCTGCCCCTCTAACAACGTCAGGGGAACACGAGCAGTGTAGGTCTTGTGAGAAATCCTGCAGGTACAACCCACACGGCCAGCGATGTTTACCTCGGCACTTCCCGCACCCTCTGGGAGAGGAGACCCGGCACCCACCTCCAGAGACGGTTCTCGAAGGGCTCTTACAGAGAAGATGTTTTGGGGAATAAAACCACACACGAAACACTAATATTAAACCAAGAATGTGCTCTTTCTTTGCAATCATAGATAATTGGAAATTCTCATCACCATCACAATGGCCTCTGCCTGGAGAAGGAGGGAAGCATCAGATTTAAGGGTTGACGCACATCACGGACCCTCAGCTCTTCCCAGGAACTGAGGTCCACCTTGGCGGCCCCCACCAAGTGGAAATGAATTTAATAGCCATGGAAATATGAGCATGTGCCTGGCTCCACGACACCTTCACCCCTTGGCCTCCGGGATGCCCTCCCCGGTCTGTGGATCTGCACAGCGCCCCGTCACCACCTAGATCTTTCTCCCGGGAGATGGAGAGCTCACTCTGACGGGACTCTTACCGCCTCACGACCACGGCTCTGGGAACCCTGAGGCCAGCAGTGTGCGCTGAATGCCGGGGGCGGGGGGAGCTCTCGCCTCGTCCTCCAGCTCCCTCACCGTCCTCCATGGAAGATGTTCCTAATCCACATGCACGTGCACGCCTGTCTTGTAGAGACAGCAGGACGTTGCCTCTGCCACTCACAGACATGGGGGGAGGCCCCAGGGGCGAAGGTGGGCAGGCTCCTGGCGCCGGGCAGAAGCTTCCCCGCGTGAGCACTGCAGCCTGCAGTTGTGCCGCGCACAACACCCCCGCCTCTGTTCTGCTCGCCCGCTCCGCCTGGAGCTTCTGATAAACAGAAGTCCATCCTGAGCCTCGGACCCACCGCTACCCAGGCCCACCACCGACCGACCGGAAGACTGGATAGTTGAGACAGGAAGAACGTCACAGCCCTTACTGGGCGCCTGCTGCATGCAGGCAGTGAGTCCTACGGCAGCCCTGTGGGTGGGCACCACCGTTCTCATCTGCAACAAGCATGCACTGAGCACCACTGTGTACCAAGCACAGCACTCACGCTGCAGTGGGGAAGCAAGTGAATGCAGGGGTAAGTAAACAAGGTCGCCAGCTCCTGCTTGGACAAGGCCGAGACGGAAACAAACAGGGACCACAGTGCAGAGGATGGGGATGCGGGTGGCAGCTCTCACGGGCCTCCAATCTGAGGGTCCTCTGGGTCCCTCCTCCGTCCTCGGAGCCCACGTACCCAGAGTGCTGTTGGTTCCTCTGCTAGCCCAGACCTCATACCCTCTCCTTCTCAATTCCCAGAGCGCCCACCTGTGTCCCCCCGGCCCCTCCCTGACCCCCAGCGCATCGGGGCCACCCTCAGCCCGGTCTCCGAGGGCAGGGCATCACCCCAGCTCACTCCCTCCATGGCCCCCGCCCCAGATGAGAGCCACACTCCTTCCCTCGGCCCTGCATCTCTGCCTCACCACCTGGTCGCCCTGTCAGGGGCTCCAGACAGGAAAGCAGGACCCTCCCAGTGACTCAGTGGACCGGCCTCGACGTGGGACTCGGGTCACTAGGTGTGGGAGTCCCTGGAAACCAAAGCCATGAAGCACCCCGAGGAGCAGGCACAGCCTCCACCCCTGTGGGGCAGGAAGGTCCAGGGGAGGAGGGGACGGGAGCATGAGCAGGGCCAGGGAGGGAGACTGCCGCTGGAGCAGGGGACACGGGACCCAGCCGAGGGCAGGAGTGCCTGGCGGACAGCAGAGCAGCATCACATCAGTGCCCGTCTCTCGTCAGCCGGACTGGCTGGGAGGCCAGTTGTCCAGGGAGCCTAAGGCTGCGCAGAGTGCAGGAGATAAGCGGGGCACCCCCGGCTGTGCACACACTCAGCCCTTCACTGCTCCTGACCCACGTGGCTCTTCCCCGACGTCCGGTCTCCCAGCTGCCAGCATCTAGGCTCTCATGAGCCAGCACCCCTCACACCAGCTGACCCCGGCTGAGCCATACACCTTCATTCAGCCCGTGGACAGCAGGAGCATGTGGCTCCGTGGGCCTCCAGGTTTCGGGGACAGTCCCTGGGCTCCACCAGGTGTAGCTCTGTGGGAACATGCAGCCAGCATCCCCCTGCACAGAGTCCAGGCTGTAGGCGCATGTCCCGTTCCAGGGATGGGATCGAGTCCACAGCCCCGAGGACAGGCGGAAACAAGCTCCCTGGCTGGTGGAAGGGCACTGCCGGGGTCAGAACCGGCGCCCACGGGCTGCATCAGGTGGGGTCTCCCACCCATATCCCCACGCCCTGCACAGAGACGTGGCTCCTGTCCTCTTTAAGACGACCCGTGACTTGCCGAGGTCAGGCCAGCGACCACATTAAAGGGGTGAGCTGGGGGCAGAGCACTGGACCGGTCGCCCCCTGTTCCCCAGGCCACCCACCCCCGGGCTCTTAGCTGGTTCTGTACAGACACCACTGCCGTCCTTCAAAGAGCAGGAAATTTCATTCAGGGAGGTGTTAACATAGGGGAGGGGAGGTGCCATGGAGCTGAAGGAGCAAGCCAGGCAGGAATCAGGACAGGAGCCTGTCAGGAGGGCCCAGCCCGCGGCCCGTGGTCACCGGGAAAAGCCGGACCAGGGACCGGAGGAGACACGGCCATACCGGGAAAGCTACCTGCGGCACAGTGAGGGAAGGGGGCACCAGGCCTCATGCCCTCTCCCCAGTCTCCTGCCAGAGCCCCAGCTGAGCAGACCTGGGCCGGCAGAGGTCAGCCTCTGGGGTGCAGACCCCAGCAGTGGGACGGGGTGGGCCTGAGAGCAAAGGCCCAGCCCCAACACAACTGGGGCCTGGAGAATCAGGTCCCTGCTGCGCCCGCCCCAGAAGCCACGCCATGGGAGGCAGGGCGCCCGTGGCCGGGTCCCTGAGGCCGGTGCTGGGGCTGGGAGCTGGAAATTGTGTGATCCCCGGCTTTACACATGGGGCAGGGGGTGGAGGCGGCGGCAGGGGCTACTTCAACCCTGCTGCAAAGCATGTATGTGCTGCTGGGGGAGGCATGTACGGTGGGGAGACGTGGGCCTGACCCGCAGCCTCCGCCCGCCACAGGAGGTGGGCTGGCGCAGGCCCCACACATAGCCTTTGTGCACATTTAAAACTGCCTGCTGCCTGACTGGCAACCCCGCCGTGGGGACACACTCACAAACACAGACGTTTCCCGCCTGCCGGGGCCGGGGCTGCGGACACCTGACCGCCTGCCAGTGGAAGCGGGAGCCACCAGCGGCCCTAGTGCAAGGGTTAAAACAAATGAGGCAGGTCTGCATGCCGAGGCGGGACCACCTGGAAGACGCAGTGACCGGTTTAGAAGGTGCAGACGGTCCCTCCCCTGCGCTACCGGCTGTGGCAGGAACAGGGGCCGCACGTGCAGGG